ATAGAGAGAACACAGTGGTGGATAGAGAGAACACAGTGGTGGTGGGGGATAGAGAGAACACAGTGGTGGTGGTGGATAGAGAGACACAGTGGTGGATAGAGAGAACACCAGTGGTGGTAGAGAACACAGTGGTGGATAGAGAGAACACAGTGGTGATAGAGAGAACACAGTTGGTGGTGAATAGAGAGAACACAGTGGTGGATAGAGAGAACACAGTGGTGGATAGAGAGAACACATGGTGGATAAGGCTGGTGGTGGATAGAGAGAACACAGTGGTGGTGGTGGATGACAGTGTTGGATAGAGAGAACACAGTGGTGGTGGAAGAACACAGTTACATAGTGGTGTGGTGGATAGAGAGAACACAGTGGTGGTGGATAGAGAACACAGGGGTGGTGGATAGAGAGAACACAGTGGTGGGGATAGAAGAGAACACAGTGGTGGTGGTGGGGATAGAGAGACACGTGGGGATGAGAGAACACAGTGGGGGTGGATAGAGAGAACACAGTGGTGGATAGAGAGAACACAGTGGTGGATAGAGAGAACACAGTGGTGGATAGAGAGAACACAGTGGTGGATAGAGAGAAACAGTGGGTGGTGGATAGAGAGAACACAGTGGTGGATAGAGAGAACAAGGGGGTGGTGATAGAGAGAACACAGTGGGTGGATAGAAGAACACAGGGGGATAGAGAGAACAAGTGGTGGTGGATAGAGAGAACACAGGGGGGGTGGATAGAGAGAACACAGTGGTGGATAGAGAGAACCATGTGGTGGATAGAGGAACACAGTGGTGGATGGAGAACACAGTGGTGTATAGAAAACACAGGGGGGTGGATAGAGAGAACACAGGGTGGTGGAGAAGAACACAGTGGGTGGGTGGTGGATAGAGAGAACACAGTGGGGGGATAGAGAGAACACAGTGGTGGATAGAGAGAACACAGTGGGTGGATAGAGAAACACAGTGGTGTGGATAGAGAGAACAGTGGTGGATAGAGGAACACAGTGGTGGTGATAGAGAACACAGTGGTGGTGGATAGAGAGAACACAGGGGTGGATAGAGAGACACAGTGGTGGAAGAGAGAACAAGATAGGAACACATGGTGTGGTGTGGAAGGAGAACACAGTGGTGGATAGAGAGACACAGTGGTGGTAGAGAAACAAACATGGCTTCGTTACTAGAGGACAAGTAGAGTATGAGGAACACATTATGCATATTAATTGATACCCTAACACAGTGCAGTGTTCCTAAGTGTAACATGTGTAACAGAACGATTGCAGGTGGATAGAGGTAACCACAGTGTGCGGTGGTAGAGAAACACATTGATACACACACATATAACACAATTAAGAGACACCACAGTTGAAGACAATATAACACAGTTTGTGTAAAGAAGAGTCAGTTTGCAGTATATTTAAGAACCCGTTCTGCTGAAATAAAGACTGAAAACATATTGATAGGCTGGAAGTTGAAAGAGACAGTCATCGGTTGTGATTTTCTAAAAACAAGTGTTTGATTAGAAGAACACGTGCTGGATTGAACACCATGTGAAAGCGTTGATGGAAGCACACAGGTCGATCATCTCACAAATGTGTTTAGATGACTCTTACCGGAGTCTTCTGGATTTCATGCTTTCAAACCAAACACCTGCAAAATATATCTACATATCCACACACTGCATTGTATATCCTCCACTATAAAATGTACTTGGTGGATAAGGTGAATGCACCAATTTGTAAGTCGCTCTGGATAAGAGCGTCTGCTAAATGACGTAAATGTAAATGTAATAAAGTTGATTCTGATTCTGTCCAACTAACGTTAACTAGAATAACATGACACTTCAATGATCTGTAGCCAACTAGCTAAAGTTAGCTAGTTAGGAGAAGAAGAAAAAAATACTTTCAATTCTGACTGGTGGAGATAACTAGCTAATTAATGAAGGGCACAGAGGCTAGCTAATCATATTCAATATCTAACCAACTACCTCAGCCATGACACAACCCCAACCAGCACTTTGACCAGAGAAAACACATGCCTTTCTACGGTCTGTGATTTAACCAAACGTTAGCATACCTAACTACCTACCTAACTACCTACCTAGCTAACTAACTACCTAAAAATGATTGATCGCTTTCTAAGTTTCCCAAAAAGATACCCAAGGACTGGCTTTTAAATTTACTTAAAAGCTTCCTAGTTGAAAATCTTTTATAAATGACAGAATCGGTTTAATTTAAAAAAATTGTATCTAATCTCAATCTTGTTTAAATCATGAACACACCTAGATGGTTATTAACACATTAAAATCGTTGTTATTCCCAAAGCACACCGCCTTAAGACTTCCTTCCTTTCCTTTTCCCCTTTAAAAACTTCCAGATTGCAACAAGCTTCCCCCTAGACACGATTCGGCCCATTAATTTCCAAAAAATACATGAATATTTAAATTTCCCTTTCTGTTTACCCATCTTGAAAATATTGAGGCGGCTTATTCTAATGCTTACCCTATAATAATGCACTATCCTAGATCTGGCTAATTCTAATGCTCATAATAAATAATTTTCCCACTTCCCTAATCGGATTTAATTCTAAGGGGTTCCCTATAAACCACTATCTTAAAATCCGGCTCATTCTAATGCTTACCCTATAATAATGACTATCCTAGATCTGGCTATTCTAATGCTTACCCTATAATAATGAACTATCCTAGATCTGGCTTATTCTAATGCTTACCCATAATAATGCACTATCCTAGATCTGGCTTAATTCTAATGCTTACCCTATAATAATGCACTATCCTAGATCTGGCTAATTCTAATGCTTACCCTATAATAATGAACTATCCTAGATCTGGCTTAATTCTAATGCTTACCCTATAATAATGCACTATCCTAGATCTGGCTAATTCTAATGCACACCCTATAATAATGCACTATCCTAGATCTGGCTTATTCTTAATGCTTACCCTATAATAATGAACTCTTAGTATCATGGGCTCAATTCTAATGCTATGACGCCTATAATAATGCACTTATCCCAGAGTCTTGGCTAATTCTAATGCACACCCTATAATAATGCACTATCCTAGATCTGGCTTATTCTTAATGCTTACCCTATAATAATGAACTCTTAGATCTGGCTAATTCTAATGCTTACCCTATAATAATGAACTATCCTAGATCTGGCTTATTCTAATGCACACCCTATAATAATGCACTATCCTAGATCTGGCTAATTCTAATGCACATGTTGTTACACCATGAAATATATTGAGGCAGAAATGACAGACAGTAGCCCAAAGTTAACAAAATATAACTTCATTTATTGAACATGAAATGATACAGGCCTATGTAGGCCTGTACTGTAGATATCATTTAATGCAGTCATATCTCCGTTTTTCATTTGAAGCATCATTTTATCCTTCGCATGTTTGTAACAATTTCAAAAGACATTGGGCAAATTTGTATTTGTAGTCAACTTCGTTCTGAAGTTTTCGGCGGTCACAGTCAGGCGGATAAACATCTTGATTTTATTTTTAGCAAAAAAACATCTAACGACGCACTTAGCTGGCGTTTGGTAAATAAACAAGCGTTTTCAAGTGCAACGTTAATAATGATGATGGGTTTTGGTAAACGACGCTCCAACGAAAGGTTTTAACGATGAACTTAGCCTTAAGATGCTTTTGGGATACCGGGGCCCTGAAAACAGACCTGGGGTGTAATAATTAGCCAAACAGTTTTGCAACTAAAACACGTGATCAGTAACCATAACAACTGTGATCAGTAACCAAAACAACAGAACACACAGATCTGCTATCAGTAACCATAGCAGAACACACAAACCTGAGATCAGTAACCATAACAACAGAACATATAGATGATATGGAACAGAGCCATAACAACAGACCTAGGATCATGGCTGTATGCTAGGACCAGTTGTCTCTATGTTCAGTCTCTCTGGGTCTCCTGTCTCCATGTCTCCTGTTCTCTCACCCAGAGGATCATGGCTGTATGCTAGGACCAGTTGTCTCTATGTTCAGTCTCTCTGGGTCTCCTGTCTCCATGTCTCCTGTTCTCTCACCCAGAGGATCATGGCTGTATGCTAGGACCAGTTGTCTCTATGTTCAGTCTCTCTGGGTCTCCTGTCTCCATGTCTCCTGTTCTCTCACCCAGAGGATCATGGCTGTACCCTAGGACCAGTTGTCTCTATGTTCAGTCTCTCTGGGTCTCCTGTCTCCATGTCTCCTGTTCTCTCACCCAGAGGATCATGGCTGTACCCTAGGACCAGTTGTCCTCTATGTTCAGTCTCTCTGGGTCTTCCTGTCTCCATGTCTCCTGTTCTCTCACCCAGAGGATCATGGCTGTACCCTAGGACCAGTTGTCTCTATGTTCAGTCTCTCTGGGTCTCCTGTCTCCATGTCTCCTGTTCTCTCACCCAGAGGATCATGGCTGTATCCTAGGACCAGTTGTCTCTATGTTCAGTCTCTCTGGGTCTCCTGTCTCCATGTCTCCTGTCCTAAATGACACCCTATTCCCTATATAGTGCACTACTTTTGACCAGGGCTCTATATGAAATATGGTGCCATTAGGGAAGTATACACCATGTCTAGGCTTTAGATCTAGAAGACCCAGGTTCCATACTCTCTGGAGTCACCATGGTGATGAGGTCTCAGGGGATCTAGAAGACCCAGGTTCCATACTCTCTGGAGTCACCATGGTGATGAGGTCTGAGGGGATCTAGAAGACCCAGGTTCCATACTCTCTGGTGTCACCATGGTGATGAGGTCTGAGGGGATCTAGAAGAACCAGGTTCCATACTCTCTGGAGTCACCATGGTGATGAGGTCTGAGGGGATCTAGAAGACCCAGGTTCCATACTCTCTGGAGTCACCATGGTGATGAGGTCTGAGGGGATCTAGAAGGCCCAGGTTCCATACTCTCTGGAGTCACCATGGTGATGAGGTCTGAGGGGATCTAGAAGACCCAGGTTCCATACTCTCTGGAGTCACCATGGTGATGAGGTCTGAGGGGCTGTAGAAGAACCAGGTTCCATACTCTCTGGAGTCACCATGGTGATGAGATCTGAGGGGCTCTGATTGGCTAGATGCCTCTTCACTCTCTGGAGTCACCATGGCAATGAGGTCTGAGGGGCTCGGATTGGCTAGACGCCTCTTCACTCTCTGGCGTCACCATGGTGATGAGGTTTGAGGTAGAGGTCTTCACGGATCCACCTGTACCCGAATACCCGAGACCCGATCCGGGACCCGAGCGGGTCCGGATCCAGAATTCTAAATAATGTCACGGGTCTGGGTAGGATCTGATATGATTGTCACGGGTCTTGGGTAGGATCTGATATGATTGTCACGGGTAGGATCTGATATGATTGTCACGGGTCTGGGTAGGATCTGATATGATTGTCACGGGTCTGGGTAGGATCTGATATGATTGTCACGGGTCTTGGGTATGATCTGATATGATTGTCACGGGTCTGGGTAGGATCTGATATGATTGTCACGGGCTCGGGGAACCCCTCCCCCCCCCCCCCCCCCCCTGTAGTGAGAATTTCATCTTGACAGGGCCCTAGAAGGGTTACAGATCAAGACTGGGTAGAAGCCTAATCAGCTTAGCTGCTGGTTTGTCAGCCAGAGGCGTGGGCCTATGTTGCCAAGTCAGATGTCATCAAAGGCGGGGTGAAGTCAAGAGCCTAGCTCCTTGTTTGTAAAAGTAGACGGTTCTTAATTAGCCTACTGTAGTTTATGAGTCAATGCAGGTGCAGCTAAATTTAGCCTGGCTAGCTGGTTTTGACGCAGTCAAGACGGGTGGAGCCTCAATCAGCCTAGCTAGCTGGTTTGATGCAGTCAAGACGGGTGGAGCCTCAATTAGCCTAGCTAGCTGGTTTGATACAGTCAAGACGGGTGGAAGCCTCAATTAGCCTGGCTAGCTGGTTTGATGCAGTCAAGACGGTGGAGACTCATTACCCCTGCTAGTTTGGTTTGATGCAGTCAAGACAGGTGAAGCCTCATTTAGCCTGGCTAGCTGGTTTGACGCAGTCAAGACAGGTGGAGCCTCATTAGCCTGGCTAGCTGGTTTGATGCAGTCAAGACAGGTGGAGCCTCAATTAGCCTGGCTAGCTGGTTTGACGCAGTCAAGACGGGTGAAGCCTCAATTAGCCTGGCTAGCTGGTTTGATACCAGTTCAGACATTTGAAACCCATCTGTAGGATACCTGGGATAGGCATCAAGACAGGTGAAGCCTCTTAGCCCCTACCCCCCCAAAACAAAGACAGTGGAGCCCAACTGGCTAGGGTTTGAAGTCAGACATGACCAATTTGGAGTCGCTTTTGGATAAGACGTCGTGAAGACTCAATTAGCCTTGGAGCTGGTTTAACCACCTCCAATTGAACCCCCTGTAAGGGTCCTGGCTGGATAAAGCGTCCTGCTAAAAAAAAATTTAAATGGTAATTATCCACGGGCTATGGGGTGAGCCTAAATTAGTCCTACTGGACTGACGTACTAGGTAATCATACCTTGAGAAGGAATAACCCTAATTGCAGCCTGTAAGTCCATATGGTGAGTCGGCTTGGTTGGTTACTGTCTCTCGCCTCTTACCTAGCTGCTGCAGGTACTAGCTTCTAGTGATGCTAATACCTTCACGGCAGCTGTTAGGTCACCTCTATGTCCCTCGCCTGTGTTGCTGTTACTGCCCCTCATTTAACCTCTCCCTCCTCTCCCTGTGTCACTAGCTCCCAGTACAGCTCCTCCCCACCGTTAGAGACACCGTCTCTCTCCCTCCCTGTGTCACTAGCTCCCAGTACAGCTCCTCCCCACCTGTTAGAGACACCTCTCTCTCCCTCCCTGCTCCCCTGTGTCACTAGCTCCCAGTAAAAGCTCCTCCCCACCTGTTAGAGACACCTCTCTCTCCCTCCCTGTGTCACTAGCTCCCAGTACAGCTCCTCCCCACCTGTTAGAGACACCTCTCCCTCCCTGCTCCCTGTGTCACTAGCTCCCAGTACAGCTCCTCCCCACCTGTTAGAGACACCTCTCTCTCCCTCCCTGTGTCACTAGCTCCCAGTACAGCTCCTCCCCACCTGTTAGAGACCACCTCTCCCCTCCCTGCTCCCTGTGTCACTAGCTCCCAGTAACAGCTCCTCCCCACCTGTTAGAGACACCCTCTCTCTCCCTCCCCTGTGTCACTAGCTCCCAGTACAGCTCCTCCCCACCTATTAGAGACACCTCTCCTCCCTCCCTGCCCCTGTGTCACTAGCTCCCAGTACAGCTCTCCTCCCCACCTGTTAGAGACACCTCTCTCTCCCTCCCTGTGTCACTAGCTCCCAGTACAGCTCCTCCCCACCTGTTAGAGACACCTCTCTCTCCCTCCCTGTGTCACTAGCTCCCAGTACAGCTCCTCCCCACCTGTTAGAGACACCTCTCTCTCCCTCCCTGCTCCCTGTGTCACTAGCTCCCAGTACAGCTCCTCCCCACCTGTTAGAGACACCTCTCTCTCCCTCCCTGTGTCACTAGCTCCCAGTACAGCTCCTCCCCACCTGTTAGAGACACCTCTCTCTCCCTCCCTGCTCCCTGTGTCACTAGCTCCCAGTACAGCTCCTCCCCACCTGTTAGAGACACCTCTCTCTCCCTCACTGTGTCACTAGCTCCCAGTACAGCTCCTCCCCACCTCTCTCTCCCTCTCTCTCCCTCTCTCTCCCTGCTCTCACACTTTATCAGCTCTGATTTAATAAAAGGAGCTTAAAAAATAATTTTTCTGCTTCTTCTCGCTCTTGGATCAGGTCTGGATCCGACCAGGTCTATATGGAACGGGTCTAGTTGTCCTCGGGTCCGTTCGGATCGGGTCTCTATCTTAAACAAAATAATTTATGCATTTTGGGTCCGGGTGGGAAAGCCCCAGGTCCATTTCGGAACGGGTCTAACTTTTTGGACCCGTGAAGACCTCTAGTCTGAGGGGCTCTGATTGGCCAGATGCCTCTTCACTCTCTGGCGTCACCATGGTGATGAGGTCTTAGGTGCTCTGATTGGCTAGATGCCTCTTCACCCTCTGGCATCACCATGGTGATGAGGTCTGAGGGGCTTTGATTGGCTCGTTGCCTCTTCACACTCTGGCGTCGCCATTGTGATGAGGGCGGGGCCTGGGCAACGCGGCTCTGGAAGAGGGTCAGTTGATCGAGCAGTGGGAGGGGCATGTCTCTGATGACCAATGGAAGGTCTTCATGGAGCAGTGGGTAGATGACCACACTGAGGGCTGGACGCTCCACAGAGAAACTAGAGGAAGGGCAGGGTTTCATTATATAGAAATATCATTATAACTTGACCGACAGACTCACCGATCCGACAGACAGAGAGACAGACTCACCGATCAGACAGAGACAGACTCACCGATCAGACAGACCCACCGATCCGACAGACAGACCCATTGATCCGACAGAGACAAACAGACTCACGATCCGACAGACAGAGAGACAGACTCACCGATCAGACAGACCCACCGATCCGACAGACAGAGAGACAGACTCACCGGTCCGACAGACAGAGACAGACTCACCGGTCCGACACACAGAGACAGACTCACCGATCCGACACACAGAGACAGACTCACCGATCCGACAGACAGAGACAGACTCACCGGTCCGACAGAGACAGACTCACCGGTCCGACAGACAGACAGACTCACCGATCAGACAGAGACAGACTCACCGGTCCGACAGACAGACAGACTCACCGGTCCGACAGACAGACAGACTCACCGATCCGACAGAGACAGACTCACCGATCAGACAGACCCACCGATCCGACAGACAGACCCATTGATCCGACAGAGACAAACAGACTCACCGATCAGACAGACCCACCGATCCGACAGACAGAGAGACAGACTCACCGGTCCGACACACAGAGACAGACTCACCGATCCGACACACAGAGACAGACTCACCGATCCGACAGACAGAGACAGACTCACCGGTCCGACAGAGACAGACTCACCGATCAGACTGAGACAGACTCACCGGTCCGACAGACAGACAGACTCACCGGTCCGACAGACAGACAGACTCACCGATCCGACAGAGACAGACCCACCGATCCGACAGACCCACCGATCAGACAGAGACAGACTCACCGATCAGACAGAGACAGACTCACCGATCAGACAGAGACAGACTCACCGATCAGACAGAGACAGACTCACCGATCAGACAGACAGACTCACCGATCAGACAGAGACAGACTCACCGATCAGACAGACAGACTCACCGATCAGACAGAGACAGACTCACCGATCAGACAGACACTCACCGATCAGACAGAGACAGACTCATCGATCAGATAAACAGACTCACCGATCAGACAGAGACAGACTCACCGATCAGACAGACAGACTCACCGATCAGACAGAGACAGACTCACCAATCAGACAGAGACAGACTCACCGGTCCGACACACAGAGACAGACTCACCGATCCGACAGAGACAGACTCACCGGTCCGACAGACAGACAGACTCACCGATCAGACAGAGACAGACTCACCGGTCCGACAGACAGACAGACTCACCGGTCCGACAGACAGAGACAGACTCACCGATCCGACAGACAGAGACAGACTCACCGGTCCGACAGACAGACAGACTCACCGGTCCGACAGACAGAGACAGACTCACCGGTCCGACAGACAGAGACAGACTCACGGGTCCGACAGACAGAGACAGACTCACCGGTCCGACAGACAGAGACAGACTCACCGGTCTAACAGTGTTTTCTGCAGTGTGCGGCACGCCACCAGAGTTCCGCCCAAGAACATGTGACACACCATGACGTCACGGCAACGCTCCATGAAGGTCACCACGGCAGCGGGGTGGAAGGTTCCGTTCCGAGAGACGAGACAGAGACGGCGGAGACGAGAACAGCATGACAACGCCTCCCAGAATGCACCGCTACACACCAGGTAGGGCTGCTCCAACCTAGACACACACACACACACACAGACACAGACACAGACACAGACACAGACAGACACACACAGACACAGACACAGACACACACACACAGACACACACACACAGACACACACACACACACACACAGACACACACAGACACACACACAGACACACACAGACACACACACACACACACAGACACACACACACACACACACACACACATTATACAGTTGATACCTACATTTAAACTCAGTTTTTCACAATTCCTGACATTTAATCCTAGTAAAAATTCCCTGTCTTAGGGTCAGTTAGGATCACCACTTTCTTTTAAGAATTTGAAATGTCAGAATAATAATAGAGAGAATTATTTTATTTCAGCTTTTATTTCTTTCATCACATTCCCAGTGGGTCAGAAGTTTACATACACTCAATTAGTATTCGGTAGCATTGCCTTTAAATTGTTTAACTTGGGTCAAACGTTTCGGGTAGCCTTCCACAAGCTTCCCACAATAAGTTTGGTGAATTTTGGCCCATTCCTCCTGACAGAGCTGAGCTGCCTTTCATGTTATGTCGACATAGGACTCGTTTTACTGTGGATATAGATACTTTTGTACCGGTTTCCTCCAGCATCTTCACAAGGTCCTTTGCTGTGGTTCTGGGATAGATTTGCACTTTTCGCACCAAAGTACGTTCATCTCCAGGAGACAGAATGCGTCTCCTTCCTGAGCGGTATGACGGCTGCGTGGTCCCATGGTGTTTATACTTGCGTACTATTGTTTGTACAGATGAACGTGGTACCTTCAGGCGTTTGGAAATTGCTCCCAAGGATGAACCAGACTTGTGGAGGTCTCCCATTTTTTTTCCTGAGGTCTTGGCTGATTTCTTTAGATTTTTCCATGATGTCAAGCAAAGAGGCACTGAGTTTGAAGGTAGGGCTTGAAATACATCCACAGGTACACCTCCAATTGACTCAAAGCTTCTAAAACCTTGACATCATTTCCTGGAATTTTCCAAGCTGTTTAAAAGGCACAGTCAACTTAGTGTATGTAAACTTCTGACCCACTGGAATTGTGATACAGTGAATTATAAGTGAAATAATCTGTCTTTAAACAATTGCTGGAAAAATTGCACAAAGTAGATGTCCTAACCGACCTGCCAAAACTATAGTTTGTTAACAAGAAATGTGTGGAGTGGTTGAAAAAAAAGTTTTAATGACTCCAACCTAAGTGTATGTAAACTTCCGACTTCAACTGTATATATATACATACATACATACATACATACATATATATACACACACACACACACACTACCATTCAAATGTCCTTGTTTTCGAAAGAAAATAAAAACAATTGTCCATTAAAATAACATCAAATTGATCAGAAATACAGTGTAGACATTGTTAATGTTGTAAATGGCTACTGTAGCTGGAAACGGCTGATTTTTAATGGAATATCTACATAGGCGTACAGAGGCCCATTATCAGCAACCATCAGTCCTGTGTTCCAATGGCACGTTGTGTTTGCTAATCCAAGTTTATCATTTTAAAAGGCTAATTGATCATTAGAAAACCTTTTTGCAATTATGTTAGCACAGCTGAAAACTGTTGTGCTGATTAAAGAAGCAATAAAACTGGCCTTCTTGAGACTAGTTGAGTATCTGGAGCATCAGCAATTGTGGGTTCGATTACAGAATCAAAATGGCCAGAAACAAATCACTTTCTTCTGAAACTCGTCAGTCTATTCTTGTTCTGAGAAATGAAGGCTATTCCATGTGAGAAATTACCAAGAAACTGAAGATCTCGTACAACGCTGTGTACTACTCCCTTCACAGAACAGCGCAAACTGTCTCTAACCAGAATAGAAAGAGGAGTGGGAGGCCCCGGTGCACAACTGAGCAAGAGGACAAATACATTAGAGTCTAGTTTGAGAAACAGGCGCCTCACAGGTCCTCAACTGGCAGCTTCATTAAATAGTACCCGCAAAACACCAGTCTCAACGTCAACAGTGAAGAGGCGACTCCGGGATGCTGACCTTCTAGGCAGAGTTGCAAAGGAAAAGCCAAATCTCAGACTGCCCATCTTAATCTTTTATTTTTATTGGCCAGTCTGAAATATGGCTTTTTCTTTGCAACTCTGCCTAGAAGGTCAGCATCCCGGAGTCGCCTCTTCACTGTTGACGTTGAGACTGGTGTTTTGCGGGTACTATTGAATGAAGCTGCCAGTTGAGGACCTGTGAGGTGCCTGTTTCTCAAACTAGACACTCTAATGTATTTGTCCTCTTGCTCGGTTGTGCACCGGACTAATAAAACAACAGCCTGTTGATGATCACCGCTTTTTTATTGCCAACGTTTCCCCTCCAAACCAGATCTTCATCCGTTGTCTCCTCACCGTAGCTCTGTGAGCTGTGTGCAGTTCCTCAGTGTCTCCAGCAGGGCGGCGCTGTAGTTCCAGGTCTTCAAGGACCCCAGGTTGGCCAGTGATAAAGCCTGCAGGTCCCGGCAGTGCTCAGAGACCTGCACCAGCCCGGTCCCCTTCAGGATCCCCGCCAGCCCCGCCAGCGTCAGCCTCCGCAGCCCCCGGAACCCCCGGAGCGCGGCAACGTGCGAGTCCCCGACCCCGCGCGCGCACACGCACGCCCTCTGATCCACGCACACCCTGGCGCAGGGCTCGAGACGCGGCAGGGCGGAGACGAAGCCCGGTCCTGTCAACTCCAGAACCTCCAGAGAGGGGCAGCCAGCCAGCAGGGTACCCAGCCCGGAAGAGGCGCCCTCCCTGGGGAGAGAGTCCTCAGAGCCTGGCCTGTAGGTCCGGAGCCCCACACGGGACGGCTTCCTCAGCCCCAGCAGCAGCGAGGAGGGGGAGGGGGCGGGGGGAGGGGAGGGCGCGTGCGAACCGTCCGACAGGGCGCAGGCGGGCAGCGCCAGCGAGCGGAGGTGCGTGAGTTTGGCGAGGCTGGTACACAGGTGTGCGTTGTCCTCCAGCCCAGGTGTGTGTGTGTTGTCATGGTGATAGTGCGTGTGTAACAGGTTGAGGTGTGACAGATTGGGACAGCCAATAACCAGCCGGCTCATCGCCTCGGCAACAAGCTCCTCCTCTCCCCGCGCTCTACTGCACTCTGGATAATTGGAGGTGTGGCCTATACCACTGAGATTCAGGCTGACCAATCTCGTTGAGTCTCTCACTCCGGCGCCAGTCAGCGATTGGATGACAGTTTGTCGTAACGTGGGGCAACGGGAGAAGTTGAGGTGCTTGGGAGCGTTGCTAAGAAGGACCCGCCCTAGCGATGTGGCGTCCAACCAGGAGCGAGGCAACTGCAGGGCTTCCAGGTCGCCATGCTGACCGAGGCTATGGGCCAATGAGGACGCAGCAGGCCAGTGGGCGGGGTTTGGACCAGGAACTGAAACCAGGAAGCAGCGGAGACGCTCCGGAACACGAACACTGAACACAGCCAGGTAGAGGAGGAGCAGAGTCTGGTTCACCTAAACACACACACACACACACACACATTATATACACACACACACACACACACCCACACACACACACCATTATAACAGCCCTAACCCATTATAACCACCTGACCATTATAACCACCCTGACCATTATAACCACCCTGACCATTATAACCACCTGACCATTATAACCACCCTGACCATTATAACCAACCACCCTGACCATTATAACCAACCACCCTGACCATTATAACCCACCCTGACCATTATAACCAACCACCCTGACCATTATAACCACCCTGACCATTATAACCACCCTGACCATTATAACCCACCTGACCATTATAACCCACCCTGACCATTATAACCACCACCCTGACCATTATAACCACCCTGACCATTATAACCACCCTGACCATTATAACCAACCTGACCATTATAACCCCCCTGAACCATTTAACCACCCCCCCCCTGACCATGATAAACCACCCCCCTGACCATTTATACCACCTGACCATTATAACCACACTCTGGACATTATAACCACCCACCCTGAACCATTATAACAACCTGACCATTATAACCCCCCCTGACCATTATAAACCCCACCCTGCACCATTATAACCCACCCTGACCATTATCAACCAAACCACCCTGACCATTATAAACCACCCACCCTGACCATTATCACCACCGCACCCTGACCATTATAACCACCACCATTATAACCACACTCTGACAATATATCACCACCCTGACCATTAAACCACCCACCCTGACCATTATAACCACCACCCTACCATATAACCCCCTGACCATTATAACCCCCTGACATTATAACCACCCACCCTGACCATGATAACCACCCTGACCATATAACCACCCACCTGACCATATAACCACCACCCTACCAGTAATAAACCAACCCCCCTGCCCATTATAACCAACCCCCTACCATTATAAACCACCACCCTGACCATTATAACAACCACCTGACCATTATAAACCAACCACCCTGACCATTATAACCAACCACCCTGACCATTATAACCACCCACCCTGACCATTATAACCAACCTCCCTGACCATTATAACCACCCTGACCATTATAACCAACCACCCTGACCATTTTAACCAACCACCCTGACCATTATAACCAACCACCCTGACCATTATAACCAACCACCCTGACATTATACCAACGCACCCTGACATTCTAAAAACCAACCACCTGACCATTTATAAACCACCACCCTGACCATTATGAACCAACCACCCTACCATATATAACCACCACCCTGACCATTATAACCAACCACCTGACCTTAAACCAACCACCCTGGACCATTATAAAAACCACCCTGACCATTAGAACCACCCGGACCATTATAACCACCCTGACATTATACCACCCCCTTACCATTAACCACCCTGAACCATTAAACCCCCTACATTATACACCACCCTGACCATATACCACCCTGGCCCATTATAACACCAAACCACCCCCGACCATTATAACCACCCTGACCATTATAACCACCCTGACCCATTTATAACCACCCTGACCATTCTAAACCACCCTGGCTTAATAACCCCCTGACCATTGATAACCACCCACCCTGACCATTATAAACCAACCACCCTTACCCATTTATAACCACCCTGACCATTATAACCCACCTTGCCATTATAAAACCACCCTGACCAATAAACCACCCTGACCATTATCACCCCCTTACCATGATAAGCACCTGACCATTATAACCCCCCTGACCATTATAGGCCAACCACCCGACCATTAATCACCACCCTTTATCATTATCACCCACCCTGAACCATTATAACCCCCCTGACCATTATAACCACCCACCCTGACCATTATAACCAACCACCCTGACCATTATAACCACCCTGACCATTATAACCACCCTGACCATTATAACCACCCTGCCATTATAACCACCCTGGCCATTATAACCACCCTGACCATTATAACCACCCTGACCATTATAACCACCCTGACCATTATAACCAACCACCCTGACCATTATAACCAACCAACCACCCGACCATTATAAACCACCCTGACATTATAACCACCCCCCCCGACCATTATAACCACCCTGACCATTAAGAACCACCCACCCTGACCATTATAACCCCCCCCCCTGACCATTATCACCACCCTGAACCATTATAACCCCCCGGCCTTTATGAACCACCACCATGGGCCATTATAAAAGCCACCCTGGCCATTATAACCACCCGGACATTACTAACCAACCCTGACCATTATAACCCCCCTGACCATTATAACCACCCTGACCATTATAACCACCCTGGCCATTATAACCACCCTGACCATTATAACCACCCTGACCATTATAACCACCCTGACCGTTATAACCACCCTGACCATTATAACCACCCACCCTGACCATTATAACCACCCTGCCATTATAACCACCCTGACCATTATAACCACCCTGACCATTATAACCACCCTGACCATTATAACCACCCTGCCCATTATAACCACCCTGGCCATTATAACCAACCACCCTGACCGTTATAACCCCCCCCTGACCATTATAACCACCCTGGCCATTATAACCCCCCTGACCATTATAACCACCCTGACCATTATAACCACCCTGACCGTTATAACCACCCTGACCATTATAACCACCCTGGCCATACCTCTCCAGGCGCCAGGCGGGCTGTAAACTCCTCCAGCTGTTGGTAGTGAGGAACGCTGCTCTGGCCAATCATCAGCTGGCAACACACACTGGAACCTTCCCTACACAACACAGCACCCACAACACACACACCACCACACACACACACACCCCCACACCACACACACACACCCACACCACCACACACACACACCCACCACACACACCACACACACACACACACACACACACACACACACACAGACACAGTCAAACCAAGGTTTTAGTTGAGATGTTGTCCGTCTGTTGTGTCTCACCTGGTGACGTCAGGTATGTCCAGCTGCAGCCGTAGACTGAAGAGGCTGGAGCAGCAGGGGACAACGCCGTAACTGGGCGTCAAGACCGTCTGTCTCAGCTCTGACAGCCGGGACAGCGAATCACGGGCCTCCCCACTCAGCTGGGCGGAATCAAAGCCCGGCGCCACGTCAAAAGCAAGAGACTGGAGGAGAGAGAGGGAGGAGAGGAGACGGGACCACTCAGTGGAGGTAGGCGACACCCGAAGTCCAGACGCACAGGGACGACATCCCAAGCAGCCGGTCGATGGTAGAACCCGACAGCCAATTCAGCCGCGCTACAGTCTGAGGGACTGCACTGATGGATAGATGCTCGCACCTGGCCGAATGCGCCGGTCATTGCCCTGGGGGGGGGGGTCAGGAATTAAAGAAAATGATTCATCACAGTGTGTGTTTGGTGTGTGGTGTTGTGTTTTTGTGTGTGGTGTGTGTGTGTGTGTGTGTGTGTCTGTGTTGTGTGTGTGTTTGTGTGTTGTTGTGTTTGTGTGTGGTGTGTGTGTGTGTGTTGGTCCTGTGTATCCTTGTTTGTGTGTGTGTGTGTTGTGTGTGTGTGTGTGTTTGGTGTGTGTGTGTCTGTGTGTGGTGTCTGTTGTCTTTTGTCTGTTGTGTGGTGTGTGTGGTGTTGGGTGTCTTTGTGTTGTGTGTGTCTGTGTGTGTGTTTGTGTGTGTGTGTGTGTGTCTGTGTGTTCTGGTGTGTGTGTGTGTGTGTGTGTGTGGTCTGTGTGTGTGTGTGTGTGTGTGTGTGCGTGTGTGCTTTGTGTGTGTGTGTAGTGTGTGTCTTTTGTGTGGTGTGTGTTGTGGTTCTGGGTGTGTCTGTGTGTGTGTGGTGTGTGTCTTGTGTGTGTTGTGGTTCTGTGTGTGTGTGTTGTGTCTGTGGTGTGTGTGTTGTGTGTCTGGTGGTGTCTGTGTTGTGTCTTGTGTGTGTGTCCTGTGTGTGTGTGTGGTGTGTGTGTGTGTTTCTGTGTGGTGGTGTGTGTGTTTTCTGTGTGTGTGTGTGTGTGTGGTTGGGTCCTAGTGTGTGTGTGTCTGTTGTGTGTGTTGTGTGTGTGGGTGGGGCGGGGGTCTGGGGTGGGGGTGGGTGTGGACCGGGTAAAGGCTTGCAACAGCGGGACCGTGGTCACAGGGTCTTAGCTGAGGCGAGGGGGCCCTGCAGGCTGGCGGCCGGGGCCGGGCACGTAGATTCACCAGGCAGATGTCTCCGAGACATAGCGCAGGATCCTTAACAGATCTCATCGGAGAAGTCTGACAGTCCGATCCGATCGACCCCGCATCACCCATTCCCATCATCTACACCCGACCGCCTGGAGAGAGATAGAGAGAGAAGAGATGCGAGAGAGAGAGAGAGAGAGAGAGAGCGCTCTCTCCTCGCGCTGCTCCCTATCTCCTCTCCCTCTCGCTGCTCACGGGCTCTCGCTCGCTATGCTATGAGCGATCGACAACACAAAAACAACACACCATAACGACCCAAACCAAATCATATAAAACAACAAGAGAATTAGCTTGACACATTGAAAAAATTAACAATAAACCGAGCAAACCTAGAATGCTATTTGGCCCTAAACAGAGATTACACAGTGGCAGCCTCACCTTACCACTGTGATGACCCCAACTTAGGAAAGCTTTACTATGTTTACAGACCTCAGTGAGCCATAGCCTTGCTATTGAAAGGCCCCCGTAGGCAGACCTGATGGCTCTCCAAGAGAAGACAGGCTATGTGCACACTGCCCACAAAATGAGTGGAAACTGGCTGCACTTCTACCTCCGCCCAATGTATGACCATATTAAGAACACATATTTCCTCAGATTTCAGGATCCACCAAGAATGAAAACAAACCCACGTTTTGAGAAACTTAACTCCCATAATCTCTTTTGAAAAACACAGTGTGCCCTCACAGCAGCAAGTTTTGGTGACCTGTTCCACAAGAAAAGGGCAAACCAGTGAAGAACAAACACCATTGTAATACAACCATTTTACGGTTATTTATTTTCCCCATTTGTACTTTAACTATTTGGCCATTGTTCAACACTGTATATAGACCTAATATGACATTTGAAATGTCTTTAATTCTTTTGGACTTTTGTGAGTGTATGTTTACTGTTCATTTTGTATTGTTTATTTCACCTTTTGCTTTTGATCTATTTCATTTGCGTTGGCAATGTGCAATATGTTTCCCATGCCAATCAAGCCCTTAAATTGGACTGATTGAATATGAGAGAGAGAGAGAGAATCTAGCGAGAGAGCTGATCGAGAGAAGAGATCGATGAGAGATGATACTAGACTCTAGATCGAGCGAGACGCCGCAGCTCTCGATCGTCTCCGTCGCTCTATCCTCCGCGTATAGAGTGCTAGAGAGGGGACGATAGAGAGGGGAAAGCGTCTACGCTCCGCCCTCTCTCCCATCTGAGAACAGATCGAACCAGCGAGAGAGCCAAGCGACCCCTACAGAGCAGATCGGACAGATATAGAGAGAGCGACAGAGAGAGATGAGAGCGACATAATCTAGAGAGAGAACGACAGAGATAGACCGGAAGAGACAAGAGACAGAGAAATGAGAGCACAGAGAGAGATACGACAGAGATAGCGAGATAACAAGAGAGAGAGAGACACCAGCGAGAGAGAGCGAGAGACAGAGAGAGAGCGCGACAGGACAGAGACAGAGCGAGACAGAGACAGAGAGCGAGACAGAGAGCGAGACAGAGAGAGAGGCCGATGAGACCGAGAGAAGCATCGATGAGCGAGAGACAGAGAGAGAAAGCGAGACAGAGAGAGCAGAGTGAGAGACCTAGAGAGATAATCGAGAGAGAGCGAGAGACAGAGAGAGGAGCGAGACATGAGAGAAGAGTCGAGATACAGATGAGAGAGAGCGAGAGACAGAGAGAGCTAAGACGAGAGAGACCTAGAGAGAAGAGCGAGAGACAGAGAGAGAGACAGCGAAGAGCAGAGAGAGACGAGAGAGAGAAGCGAGACAGAGAAGAGACAGCTCTCGCTCGCGAGTCGCCTCTCTCTCTCCTCGCTCTCTCGCTCTCTCTCGCTCTCTCGCTCTCTCCCTCGCTCTCTCCAAGCTCGGTACTCTCTCGAGCCAGAGACTCGATGCGAGCGCTACGCTAGACCGAGACAGAGAGATAACACTAGAGAATCTACAAGAGGATACTAGAGAGAGAGATGTGACGAGAGAGAGAGAGAGACAAGAGAGAGATACGAGAAGAGAGAGAGAGAGCCGATAGCGAGACAAGAACCAGAGCGAGAACACGATATGAGAGAGAGTAGAGCGAGAGACCGAACAGATATACCGAGAGACACACAAAAAGGAACGTAGAAGAGATAGGAGAGAGAGCCTTAATCTTAGGATACACTAATTATAACAGGAGGGTGGTTTTTGGAGGGTAAACCTCCCAACTAAGTCCCTGGTTCCAGGATCGCTACACAAAACACACGGGTTCTGGTTCCAGGACCTCTCTCCCTCAAACTGGCTGGTGTTCCCGGACTTCCCTACACTGGTCTGGTTCCAGGACTCTCCTACACACCAAACTGGGTCTGGTTCCCAGGACTCCCTACACTGGTTCTGGTTCCAGGACTCCCTACATCTGGTTCCTTGTTAGAGGACTTCCCCTCAGACCAACACTGTTGTGTCTGGGTTCCATGCCTCCTTTATCTCGTCCCCCTACCAAAACAACCCTTTGGGTCTTGGTTCCAGGACCTTTTCCCGTACAACTGGGTCCTGGTTCCAGGCCTTCCCTACACACTGGGTTCTGGTTTCCCCACCATGCCTCCCTACACTTCTGGTTCCAGTACTCCCTAACTGGGTCTTGTTCCATGACTCCCCTCCTGGGTCTGGTTAAGGACTCCCCCTACACCTGGGGTCTGGGTTCCAGGACTTCCCTACACTGGGTCTGGCTTCCAGGACTCCCTACCCTGGGTCTAGTTCCAGGACTCCCTACACCTGGGTTCTGGTTTCCAGGACTTCCCTACACTTGGGTCTGGTTAGAGGACTCCCTACACTGGGTCTGGTTCCAGGACTCCCTACACTGGGTCTGGTTCCAGGACTCCCTACACTGGGTCTGGTTCCAGGACTCCCTACACTGGGTCTGGTTCCAGGACTCCCTACACTGGGTCTGGTTCCAGGACTCCCTACACTGGGTCTGGTTCCAGGACTCCCTACACTGGGTCTGGTTAGAGGACTCCCTACACTGGGGTCCTGTTTCCAGGACTCCTACACTGGGTCTGGTTCCAGGACTCCCTACACTCTGTCTTCTGATTCACGGACTCCCTAACACCTGGGTCCCCTGGTTCCAGGACTCCTACACACTGGGTCTGGTTCCAGGCCTCCCTACAACTTGGTTTTTCAAGCGGCAGGGACTGGGATACAGAGTCGGGATCGAGGGAAACAGATGAAATGGGTAGCAAAGTACAGAGAGATCCCTTGAGAAAACTCTCCCAGAGTGCTCAGGACCTCAACTGGGTGAAGGTTCACCTTCAACAAGACTATACGACCCTAAGCACACAGCCAAGACAACGCAGGAGTGGCTTCTGGACAAGTCTCTGAATGTCCTTGAGTGGCCCAGCCAGAGCCCGGACTTGAACCCGATCGAACATCTCTGGAGAGACTTGAAAATAGCTGTGCAGCGACGCTCCCCATCCAACCTGACAGAGCTTGAGAGGATCTGCAGAGAAGAATGGGAGAAACTCCCCAAATACAGGTGTGCCAAGCTTGTAGCGTCATACCCAAGAAGACTCGAGGCTGTAATCGCTGCCAAAGGTGCTTCAACAAAGTACCGAGTAAAGGGTCTGAATACTAATGTAATTGTGATATTTCAGTTTTTTATTTGTAATAAATTTGCAAAAAATTCTAAAAACCTATTTTTGCTTTGTCATTATGGGATATTGTGTTTAGATTGATGAGGGGGAAAAAACAATTTTAAATAATTTTAGAATAAGGCTGTAAAGTAACAAAATGTGGAAAAAGTCAAGGGGTCTGAATACTTTCTGAATGCGCTGTACATTTCTTTAACAGTAGATTCTTGGGCTTATCTTGGGCTAACGTCACACGTCTATCCAACCCTGGTGTGGCAGCTGGCTAGCTGGCTAGCTACTAGTCTTGTAGCTACTAGTGGTCCTCTGTAGCTCAGCTGGTAGAGCACGGCGCTTGGAACGCCAAGGTAGTGGGTTCGATCCCCGGGACCACCCATACACAAAAAAAAAAATAATGTATGCACGCATGACTGTAAGTCGCTTTGGATAAATGGGATATTACTATTATATTATTATTAGTCTGATTAATACACAATTAATGACACTAAGGCCTTCAAAGTCGTGTAAATGTTCAAGCGAGAATGATGAATAAAAATACATGTAAAACGTTTCTACATTTACATTTACATTTCAGTCATTTAGCAGATGGTCCCCCGTGGGAATCGAACCCACAACCCTGGCATTGCAAACGCCGCGCTCTACCAACTGAGCTACAACTCTACCAGTTGTCCTTCAGCTGCTCGAAATTTTAGACAAAACATCCACAGGAAAGTAAAGTATTGTTTCCCCAACCTTTTAGAGAGCGGTAGGTACAGTATAGACGGTCTACATCCTCTTTTGAGGCCTTAAAATTAAATATAAAAATGGTGGTGGCAGCATCATGTTACGGGTATGCTTGTCACCGGCAGGGACTGGGGAGTTTATCAGGATCAAAAGAAATATGAAAGGAGCAAAGCCCAGGTAAAAATAGTTAGAGGAAAACCCACTTCAGTCTTCTGAAAACCCTGGGATAGGGGTTTTAAATTTTTCTGCAGGACAATTACACCAATTTGTATGCAAAAGACACAGCAGAACCGGCTTTCCAAGACATGTTGAGTGTTTCCTGAGTTGGTCTAGTCTCAGTCGTGACAAATCTGCAACAACAAAAAAAAATAGTTTAAATATCGCTGTCCATCAATGATCCCCAACCAAATGTACTGAGCCTGAGCCATTCTGAGAAAACCTATGGATGTGTTGCCCTAAGAGTTGTGAAAAGTTTGTAGAAACTAAAAATGATTCACAGCTGTAAATTGCTGCCAAAGGCACCAAGTATTAACTCAGGGTTAACTCAAACTAATAATAACTAATAAGTTATAAATTAATAAAATAAATTAAATTAGGATATTTCCTTTTTTCTTCTTAATTTCAATTTCTTTCACTTTGAAAATGTGGATTTTAATATGGTTGTAAAAAAATCTAATTGAATCTTTTTAGATGTAATTTTAAAGGGGTTCTATAGGCGCTGTAGATGACATCTATAGATGACGTCATCCTGATGACATCATCATGTGG